AGGTATTGTTATTTAGTGGCTTTCAAAAGTTTTTTCGGGGAAAAGGGGGCGCAGATGTCTCACAGAAAAAAGCTTGTTAATATATTCAGATTATCTAAATAGTTAAATTGTAGCAACTCAGTCGTAAGTTCTACGCTCTGACAGAATAAGGTGCACCAAAAAAGACAAATTGTCTCTAAATATTCACAATTTGAATTACGCATAACCTCATCGCCACGATCTCCTACTTATGACTTGAACTTAAGCTAAAATACTGGCCTATCTCAGTTAATTTAAACAGTGCATCTTTTACAGTTTCAACACATCTTTTCAATTATTGCTACTAGTGTAATATACGAATGTATATTTTTTATCTAGAAAATCAAACATTTATTCTCGATTAGGCTTTAATTTGGACTATTTTTGTTAATGAGATTTTCTACAGAGAAAAAAAAAAGGTTTAACACATTGGACAATCCATTACAAACAGAGCATATATCACCGATACCGTGGCACACATTTATACGTTGATAGTACATCTGTTTTAAAAATTCTTTTTATAAACGCATGATTTGATTAGTTTAATCATCATGCCTATCTCTTATGCTTGTAATAGTACGTAATCCCTCAAATAAGAATAGGTATGGTTAGGAATTAATTGTTAATTTTTCAAAATGTATAACTTCGGTGATGAAAAGAAAGAATCCATGAATGACGTAAAGGCCTAATCTATTCTTTGTTTCGTTACTCCTTTTTAGATTAAATTCACTGAATGGGATAATATGGGCAAAGGACTTTATATCAAACCCTGTAAATGGTTAGGAATTGTTTAATACCACATGAATCTTTCCATAACAAAGCGAATCTGGTTACATTTTCTTCTCTTCTAATTAACTAACATATAAAAGTTTTAATATATATTTTCAAATTTGCATATGCTAAGTATCGAATAACATTAATTATGATAAGTTAAACAACATTTAACTTCGGAAGCCAATAAATAATTTTAAGGAAAGTAGGGCTAGAATTCGAGGAATATAAAAGTAAGTTCGAGATACTCAATTCAAAGACAATATGTATTATGTAAACACCTTGTAACAGTTTGTTTTAGGTGTGACAACATAAACGTTAAATAACATAAAACACGAGATTTTACAAAATGATTTTGACTTGTATCACACAGACGTAGAGACCTGAAAATTACATTTCATTAGTACTGTAATTTTGTTTAAAAGAAGTAATCTATTTTATGACCGAATTTCACAGATTACAAACTTGAGTGCTTACTCAAACTCAAAAAGTACACATTTATGACAAAAACAGCTGACATCAATAGAATTATTGGAAGAACAACAGGGGAAATATACTTGTACTGTACTTAGTCAACAATTATATTTCACCATAAGGAGAAATGGTGATCTGGATTAAAATTTCGTATTCGTTGTTTAATAAGCTCAGCAGTTGACCAGTAAATAGAAACTAGGATGTGCTATAGGAGAATTCTGTAGTCAAAGAAGAACCGAAACACTCATGCTAATGAATTATCTTCTCGACGTTTTTCACCGTTCAGTTTCGCAGAATGGTATGATTTATTATTTCATAGAGGAAGAGTCGTGTATTAAGTATATTCGATCTGTAACTTTCGCGTCATTCACGCTTGAACGACAACTGTTATTCATCAGTAATTTACATTTCTATACGGTGACACTTCGTTCTATATTTTAAAGTTTAATTTAACTTGATAATCTATTGGCATGAGAAAGCAATATCGTCTATTGGAAGTAGGACTGTATGTTGACTAATGTATATTATTATGCAATGTATACTTTGTTATATATTAAATGCCGGTCCTATTTCCATCTCGGTGATCAGATTGTCGATAAATAAGCAACTAGATTACCTAACCAAATGCGTATAATGTAATACTTTATATATAAAAATGCATTTATATAGCTGTTACATTACAAATGAAATGACAATCAAGATAATTTAAATATATTGGAATCTTTAATGAACCTCAAAAGAGCTATATAATTAACTTGGGACCTTCATAATCAAAAGAGAATCTCCCGTTCAAGATTATTTCCATATTAATATCAGAATAATAAATGTGTTTATGTAAATGAAAATTAAAAGTGAGATATAATTCCGCACATAGGAACTATTGTGCTTTGTAAGTATATGGCATTAAAACATCTTTTAGAAGTTACGTTAATTAAAAAATTACGATACTTAGACGTAAGATTACTTTTATAATTAAACATTTAATAACAAAATATGTATATCTCATAAAAATATTTATACATTAACCAAGTACGTGATATTTTGGAATTAAAATAACGTCTTGCATGATAAAATAGTCGGATATTATTTCAAGTATAAAAAAAATCGTATGTAATACTGAATAATTCGAAATTTTATTATAAAAAGCAATTCGAAGAGAAAACAAACATTTCTCTTATCAAACTATTCCTTATTAATCCAGGAGTTAAGTTCGGTATTTGTGCATAGACTTGTTTTGAAGTATATAGAAAGTTTCTTTGCATTTTCTGTGTACTTACGACGTGTACCTTAATAATCTGAATGATACCAGTCTGGCACAATTGGACTCTTGGAGATACGATACTTCGTCTTGTAAAATCACAATGTTGCGAAGGGGCCTAGTCTTCACATTTCAGAATTGTAATAATTAATAGAAGTATTAGAATCATCATTTTTTTCTCACTAACATTGATCTATATGTAATCACAAATGCAACTGAAACTATGCATGAGTCCATTAGATCCAGAGCAACACCTGGTAGATGGTATCATTAATATCTTTTTTTCTGGCAAGATGGGTCCACCTCAAGTGAATGTTGATAATGCAATAGAAATTTATGAAAAACAAATGCAGTTCTTTGAAACGAGAGCTGGCCCAAAGGATTTCGCAACATAACTTCAATATAGGTGATAACGATGGTTGATAATACAAAACACATAACTTTGGAAATAAGAACATTTGTAACACAGAAATAAAATACTCCAGGACAATGAGCTTTCAGGATAACGGAAGAGACATTGACAGGAAAAAACCTTCTCGCTCATGAGTTATCATCTTTGCCAACATCTTTGTTCAAGGAGGGGAAGATGAGATGAGCAACAAAGAGTAAGATGAAGAACAGTAATAGATGACAAAACTGCTTTATGGGCCATATCATGGTCTGCAATAGGCGCAGTGCAAAACTACATCTATACGTTTCGCAACTTTCTGAAATACACCAATATACGCATGGTTTTTGACAGTTACTATGACTTCAGCCAAAACTCTGTGACAAGGCTAGAAAAGCTGGGGGAGCAAACACACACTTTAAGACCAATTATGAAGTTACCTAATCGAACCATTCTTTCACCAACAATACGTAACAAGAAGCAGCTGATAAACATGGTATGTGATGCATTCAAGATAGGAACATTAAAAAATGAGAGTAGAAAGGACCATACACTTATTTTCACTGGCTCTGAAAATACGCCAGTTGAAATAAGTTTTGGAGGAGTTGTGCTTGAAAGAAAGAACCTAGCAACAAGCCATGAAGAAGCAGAGAGTATACTGGTTCAGCAAGCTATCATGAAAGCAAAAGAAACGGACAAGCCTATTACAATCATTTCAAATGATACAGGTGTGTTTTTGCTTCTTCTGCACTACTACCACAAATTGAATCTCACTAACAATATATACAAATGTGAAATCACCAACATGGAATAGAACTATAATTGACATAGAGACAGCTATCAAACTCCACAAAAACATTATCACAAATGTTCTTGCTGCACATATTCTCTCAGGTTGTGATTCTGTGGCTTGTATGTTTGGCATAGGAAAAATAAAATTGTTTGCAAAACAGATTCTATCCAAGCCTATTGATGAGATCATCAAGCAATCAGCTAAATTCACAAGTGCTTGCTACGATCACAAATGTTCAAGAACGACTGAGGCAAGGCAAAAAGCTCTGGGCCATGAAAACTAGCAAAACTAGTACAAAACTACAAAGCCTGCCACCTACTTCTGAAGTTTTCTCTTAGAATGTTAAAAGAGTATATTTGTAAATGGAAAATGTCGATCCAACGCTTTATGGATGGACTATTGAATAGATGTCTTGTAATAACCACTTTGACACCTATATATATATATCCTGCTCCTGACGTTATATTGAAACTTGCATAATGTAACTGTGCATCAGAAACGTACTGCAGTTCAACAAATGCAGATGTGAAAATAATGAATTACCATGCACCATATTTTGTGCCTGCAGCAGAGAAGACAATTGCCAGAATACAAGCACTGTACAAATACCTTTGCAACATTAATTGATCATATCTTAGTTATGATTAGAATAGAACTGTATTCCGATATAAATTTATTAGAATTCAATTCATTTATTTATATAACATACTATTAGTCGGGCAACGGGTCCACGTGACCTCATTTGGCGTTTCCTGACAGTGAAACTGTATTTCTTATTTATGTAAAAAAACAATATCACCCGCCTTTGGAACCTCTCTTAAGCTTTATTCGCGAGTTACAAGCAAGAACAGTGAATTTTGTACCCCAAATTCCCGTTTTTGCAAAGGGTGCAATGTTTTCAAAAATGCTCAAAGATGCTAGACTGGCATCATTCAGATTATACAAGTACAAGCCATGGGTATTCAGAAACTGCAAATAAACTTTCCGTATGCTAAAATACGAGGTAAGTATTTTTACTTGACAGATATTCAAAACTAGTTTCGCAGAAAATATCCTATATCTTCTAATATTTCATTTAGATTTTATTTTAACGACGTATTTTTGCTTCGTTTAACAATAGAATATATATTGAAAATGCATTATCAAGATAATTTTAAACATAATGCAACTTTATGGACGTAAATTAAAATGGTCTATAAAACAGTTACAACTGTCGTTGTAACAATATGTTTAAAAACAACTTTTCCAGAGGCCACATTCTTTAAATTGAGCGTAAAAATATTCCTAGTTTTACTTACGTGACTATGGCCTGCACTGTCCAGAATGTGAAAAATAACCGACTCATTGTTGACGCTAGTTTCGTGGGTGTAAACATCCTCTGAAAGAAACGAATAATTTTAAAAATAGATTTCAGTCTTAAATCACGTGAAGTGAAAGTCATTACATTTGCTCATTTATGTATATATCTATAGAAAGAGAGCGAAACGATCATAATTCGGATTCTTTCTTCTCATTTCCCTTTCAAAGAATACAAATATGTACATAAATACAAGCAAAAACAGTTGTTACAAATAAACAACAACGTTAATCTACCAGTTAGAAACTATAGACCGATGTCGCCATTTTGTGTCTAAATTATAAATAAAAGCATCACTATTACATATTGAATCGTAAATATTTACTTCATTATTCTTGATAAAAATCATAGAGAACGCTGATCCTTCTTAAAATTCTTCAGATAATTCCTAGCTTCTGTATTTTAGTAAACGATCATGTGATATTTATTTTGTTACATCAGTATTAACAGTTTCTAATATTTATACCTGTATCAATTAATGATATGTTTTTTTTTTGTTATACCATCGTTTTCAACCGCCACTATAAAGATCTTTTGTGGTTTTTACTATTTCTTTAGAAGTCACGTGATCGAAGCTGGTATTTTTTTCCCCATAAAAAGTATGAATACTTTAATGGAATGGATACATATTTAGTTTAAAGATTCTCTAGCATTTACCAAAAAAAAAAATCGAAAATTTCATAATGTTCTTGAACTTGCACTAATGAAAGAAGTTGATGAAGTAGAAAGATAAGTAATGATTTTGTAGCACAAATAATTCCCAGAGGGTTCCATTTTTGTTTTGAATGTTTGCCATCTGGTATTTCTTTACGCTCAGAGCTCTTAAAGCATATTGCAAAATATGAAAGTTTTATTATGTTTTCTATGAATAAAGGTATGCTTCATTGTGTCAGAATCTAAGTTGTAAAATAACGTTACAATATTCAACGTAGATTTTATAAAAAAATAAAAATACGGATTATCTCTTTTTCATTAAAGATATTAAAATACTGGGCTTCTCCTTGAATTTTCAATTTAAAATGATCCTTAAAATCAGCATTAATAAATATATGCACAGAATGTTAAGAACCATACAATATACAGTCACAAAAGGTTATCATTCAAAACAAAATACGATCCAACGGAAGCAGCAGTGTTGGTTGACTTTAGTTATGAAACTTATTACTAAAATTTATAACTAGTGTGAATAGGAACGATGAGAGAAGTGACGCCGAGTTTTTTCTCTAAAGTTAGTAATTTATTTTCATTCACGTTTTTTCCAATAAGTAATGAAACGTGTGGAAATCTTCACGCAGACAACTTGTATTGAGAGTATTCTTGCTACACACTTCTCTGGAATATGAAAGCAGGCAGCAAATATATATATATAATGTACGCATGTTGAATACGTTATAGTGAAATTGTTTTAGAGCTATACCAAGTCGTCACAGGCTCCCAGTAGTTCAGCAGTAAAACTAAGGGTTTATAACACTAAAAATCAGGTTTCGATACCCGCGGAGGGTGTAGTGTCGTGGAAACATATTGTGTACACATGAGTTATATCACTTTTCTAGGTGGGGATCCCTCTTGATCATGTTGTGTACTATTGCCTGAGACAAGTGGATGGCTTTTGACACTGATCTGTTACAAGACATTGCACTTTGCTTACCACGGTTGGGGTAAGACTTGTTGCGAATCTATTTCGGGATGGTCCTTGGGGTCTAAGTTGATCCATATTAATTTGTTTTTTTTTCAATGCAATTAAGTATAAGAGATATCCGCGTCTTGAAAATTATATATTCCCGAGTTGAACACATTTTTGTGATCTGAGTATGAATATTTTGCGTCGGAAAGGGCTGGTCCATGCCCTTCCCAAAGGCAATCAATTTTCGATGGCACCACACTACCCAAAAATGACCAACAATGTCAAAATGTAGTTCTGATACATGCCATTCCACTAAGACTTTAAATAGGCCATGGTTGTCATATGACTTGCTAATTTGCATATTCAAAATCGTTTTAATATAACATATTCCACCATCTGTAAAAGGAAGCTCAATGATAAAAAATATCTTGCAGATATTATCCTAACATATGAATCACACTTTCTATTCGTTTTCCTTTGGCGTTACAATTGTTGAGCGTCCAATGCTAAGACTATAAGAGAATACCCTTGTTTTTCATTTTACTGCATGAGCAAATTTTCTTTCATATATTTATTTTTTCGTATTCTATGATGAGTGAAGAAATTCCAATGTAACTTGCTGTTTGCTGAACTCAGATGCTCAAATTATCAGTATTTCAGTGGCTTTCTATGTCAGACTTATTTAAAAACGACGGCTTGTGACAGACAAATAATATATTTTAGTCGTTTTATCTATTAGTGAAATGTGCCAAGTTGTTATGTATAATCAAACGTTAGACAACTGCTAAAACTTAAATTTGTTGGCATACTTCAGTAATGTTCTTTCTCATTGTATTTTCACATAAACTACAAAAAAGATGTTACAACAACACAGTTTTTTGTGAAACTGTAAAGGATTTTGATATTGATAGAGGAAGTATCTTAACTAATGCTTATTGTAATTATGGAGCAGGAATGTTGCTTTTATAAGCTAGGAAATGTATTATTAGACACTTAAAAACTTGTTTGGGTAAAGGTGCTGTCGACGAAAGTGTTTCTCGATTGTTTCAGCCTTGCGGTTTTTATATAAATATTCTACAAGTCTATAGTGTTTTCACTAAATCTGTACTGAGTTATTCCATTATATGGGGGAATTGTTATCGGGTTAGATCGTGTTCCGTATTACTTCACTATGTTGAAAAGATTTATAGACATATAAAACTATGTGTTCTCAAGGATCATTCCAAAAACCTTTGCAGACCACTGGTTGAGAACCTTGTCTCTGTGATACAGCGAACTTCCTAGCAGTGATACCATTCGAACAAAAATTATCTTTCCAGTTATTTATTATTTTAATGCCTAAAGAATCTTTGTATCATAGGTATAAATAAATGTATTATTTTAGTACCAAACTACACAATGGGCTGTTTGCTCTACTCCGCCCAGGAGTTCAAACCTTGCATTTTGGTATTATAAACATTGAAGTTTACTTCTGAGCCACTAATTGTAGTTAAACGTAAAGCTACTCAATGGATTATCAGTGCTGTGCCCACCACATGTATCGAAGCTCGAGTTTTAGCGTTGTAAGCCAACAGACTTACAGCTCAGCCATTGGGAACAGGGGAAGAATAGATAGATACTGATCGCCGATAACTGACTCATGACAATACAGGCATTATCACAATATTGATAAATGTTAACATTATAAGCCAAAACTAAATGCCGATTACTTTTTTTCTTTACTTATAAATTAGGGATTTTCACGAAATACTATTTCGAGCCTAAAATATTTATCTTCGTATTTTTGAATCATATCAGAAAATAACATAAAGAATCTGTGTAGGTTTCTTTTAAATTAATATCTTAATTTTCGTAAATAATAAGCGTCTTTAACAGAAACATTTACAAGAACTTCCAATTTGTGGAAAACAAGAAATTTGCTCGTTCCTGTTTCTATAACTAAAAACTATAAAACTTTGTATAGTATTAAGTTAATAATAAGTAAACTAAAGATGTCTTTACATTCTATTTAATCTGTCCATTGCTGCTTGAAATCAGAAGTGGGTAAAAAATAGCATTTCAGATCTATGTTTTGCCTCTCATAAGTCACTGCTCAGTAAGCTTTCCTTTCTATATTAGAAATCATCATTTGAGCTGGATTATGAGAGACAAAAAATTCTATGAAACGCTATTCATATATGCATTATTATTCGTTATTATTATTATTTGTAATTAAGCACAAAGCTACACAAAGGGCTATCTGTGCTCTGCCCACCACGGGTCCGCAGACATACCGCTGTGCCACTGGGGGGGGGGGGGCTTATATATGCAAGTATACTACTTTAAAAGTTACCGAAAGAAAGCCGGCGGACGACTAAAAACAATGATGAACCAAACATTGTTATAAAGTTCACTGCAGATGTTTTTTCACATTTCTCTAATGATGAGTCCAATGGACAAATAAATAGATAGATGAGCCTATTTCCTATCTTAATTATGAAACGTTTTGGACTTTCAAATATTAAAATGGCAGTAAAATTACAATTTATTTAAACAATGAAAATATGCGGTGTATTGTACATATAATGTGGACATAAAAAGTGATAAAATTTGAATTGCTATCTGGGAAGGGTTTCTTTGAAAATTGCTTTGTCCCACCCCTTTCAGTTCCCACTTGTAGTTATATTTTTGTAGCAAAATCTAATTTGATACGTTTTCGTACTTAAAAGTTCAAACTACTATCCATGTTATGTTCTGTTACAAGTGTACATATTTGTAGTCTGAAAAGCTACCAACTTACAATATGTATACATAAAGAATGTCCAACGTTATATCTCTTTGTTTCAGATTTCTACCCAGAATTAAGCAAAAGGCTATCTGCACATGGTCGTTCATAATTTTGAAGTGATAGTTTAGAGGTAAAGCATCCATCTTGGGCTACTTCTATATGACGGAATCGAGGATTTGATGTGAATATTATAGGTCACACATGGTATCAAAGTGCGGAGGACATTTTTGCCGCCACGAAACGAACCATGCAACTCTCGGCTTTACAGTCCAAGCTTGCTAACAACTAGGCATCCCGCCCCTTCCTCAACATTAACTTAACTTATTTAATATGTTTATATATCTTCTACAATCAATTAACTTTTCCTCTTTTCAAAGCATTAGAACAAGAGTTAATTTGCTGATTTTTGTATTCGATTATGTGATTCATGTAGTAGCGTATAGGTGGAGTCAAGGTATGTAGAGATTTTTTTTTTGTTGTTGTTGTTTGTAATTAGGCACAAAGCTACACAAAGAGCTATCTGTGCTCTGCCCACTACGAGTATCGAAACCCGGTTTCTAGCGTTGTAAATCCGCAGACATACCACTGTGCCACTAGAGGGCGTATATGGAAATAAAAAAAATGTATTAGATCTTCCTGTATACTATCTATAATATAACAAGATTCAGTGTCTGTATGTACGTGTGCCACGTATCTCCTTTTAATTAAACCACTAGTCACCCGACTTCTAAATGGTACCAAACGGATTGTCTCGCGAGGTTTGTACAATGGTAAAATTGTTCATCCAACCTCTTAGGGAACCCAGGTATTCCGCGAAAACACTTTTACGGGGATTCCCCGAAAGCGGACCCCAAATTTGACATTGATTTACATTAACGCGTGTAACTAAGTAGGCCTATTAATTATCGTTCATAGCTTGATTAAAGAAATTAAACTTGCATTATAGCGGCAATGATCATTAGATTGCAAAAAAATGCTAAGTGGTAATTCGAGCATTAAATTTGCATTATAGCGGCCCTGTAAATATGGTCCAGTAGCCCATGGGTTTGCTAGCATATTATTATTAATGGGAATAGTGATAAAATAATATGGTAAACAGTGAAACAAGTGTGTAAAATGTTAAAAGTACAATTTTATTTAAATTAAAAATAGGCTTTGAATATATTTAATTTGTATTAACATGACCACTTCCGCACAAGAAACACATAAATAGCATGTTCTAATAACAATACTTTTACCTACTAAAGTAACTAATATTAAAAATTAACTCAATATTTTTCTAGATTTATCAATTAGATTGGAAGTTAGTAAATCAGGATAAATAGTTAAAATAACAGAATTATCGGCAAATAAGTACAAACAGCTCTTACCCAAAGTTGGATCATAATCTCCAATAAACCTCTTGGTAATGAATCGAACCGTAAGAGCTGTAAAGTAAATATGTGTATATATTATAAGAACGCAAATAGAAACAATATCTTATTCAAAACATAGGTACACGTTCGGAAATCTCATTGCTCTATAAACTTCGAATTTACTTAATATCTATTTTGGAAAGGTAATAACCATGGAATAGAAACAGATAACTCACTATTGCAAATGCCGCTCTCATGGACTTGATAAACTCATTGAAGTTAATTATGATGAAGTTACCCATTATATGACTGATTCAGAAAAGTAAAAAAAAAAGAAAAGGTTAATGAGTAAAAGCAAGGCACTATTGATTACAATTATCATAAGATATTAGTAGAAGGGATTTTTAAACATTACATTCTTTAGTCAGTCCCGTCTTTACATCAATTGAAAAGCTGATGTTGAATAATATTTTGTTATTTTATCTATAATGTATCCCACGAGTTCATAATGTGTTCATATCATCTTAATTTATTGAAACTGAGTGGGCGATGGATATGGCGGACATAGATAGTGTAGTTCGAATACTGTTGTTTTACACTCTTCTTGTTGAAAATTCAAACAATTCAAATTCAAAATATTTTTTTTTCCGTAAAAGTCAAAGGTTTCATGAAAGAATGGAGTGGGTGGGTGGCTTAGATACACAGTTAACTGGATATATAAGTATATATCGGGAAGGTGCTTATATAACAGTAGCGACATATATACATAGCGCTATCTGAGTTTAGCTATATTTTATTAAGTGTATTTATAAATCTGGGTGTTTTACTTTGAGAAACATTTTTAAATAACATAACTTTGCTATTTCTAGAGAAACAATGGTATATAATTTTGTATTAACAAGGACGATATCAAAACTGTTGTTGCGATTGTAAAGACGATTAAACATTACTAACTGCCAAAACAAAATTACTTTAATTAAACAGATTCAAAACCTGCCATTAGTAATCTTTAACATCATTGTGTGTTTCTCATTTCTTCAGCATACGCCTGCTGATACGAAATCCAGTCAGCATATGTTTACCTAATCGTTATATCCTTATGTAAGATATCCGTGGGTTGTCTAATCATTTACATACAAGAAACAATTTGAATTTCGTATGATACAAACGTACTTTTCTTGTACCTACAAGAAATAGAATTAATCTTTCTTAAAGTTTAAGCTATATTAATACTCTTGCTAAAAATCTGTTGTACGGCTTCATTATTGCCAGCAGAATTCCTTCCGCCTATACTTAGCTAAAATATGAATACGTAAACAATTTTCAAGAAGTAAGAACTACAAAATCTCCTTGATACGATTTGAAAATATAGAACTTCCGGTTTAGCAAATAAGCTGTCCAACTAGTAAGGCATAATTTTGAGCGATATCATATTTCATTGTTTAAAATTTCGAATCCAGTACTTATAAAGGCCTTATTGTTGGCAACACAGAGCGAACAATGAATATTGTTTACTGATTAGAGTTTCCGAAGGCCGATTTGTACTGCATGTTGATTATAGTAAAACAAAACAAAAATCTAATTTTGTAGCTACAAGAGATTTGTAGGACGCTCTGTTCATGTCCAATCGTAACTAAATAATTATATTCCAGAGCGGTAAATGAGGATAATCCTAAAGTTCATAGTAAAAAATATAGGTAATTATTCGTTCTACGTAAAATAACACACGTGCAGTAAATTGAAGATTTTATGTTTGAGATAATTATATATTTTTCAGTGAGTAACAATCGTGCTTATATTTCGAAATCAGTAGCTTGCAGCAGTACCGTTACTAGACATTTAATATTTCTTTATGGGGGAAAAAAATCATGCGTGTTGGATTTAAGATTTCATAAACAAATCTTACATTTTGTCTTCGAATTAGAAAATAATTAGTTGTTACTTAATACATATTATTAAATAAGAAATGTATTCCAACTGATAGGTTTAGTTGTTTTTCTTTATAACTGTACCATAGGCTTATTTGAGATGTGTCCAACGCAAGGATCGAATCCCGATTATCAATGTTATAATCTAAGCAACATGAGAATTTTACTTCCATTATCAAAGTCATTTTATGTAAAAATATCTTTTAAGGTTTCAGATACATAGATATATCAAAGGAGAACAACTGCTAACAATTTTCTAATGTTGGTGTTATCAGGATTAAAGCATCCAAAGCTCTCTAGATTACACAGTAAAGCTGCCTATGCCGTGTTTAGTTGGCAGTTGCTGATGATCTTGCTATTGTTTGGTCTACTATCTCAAAATTTAACGTACTTAATATTTCCTTTAGTAATAAATGTGAGTAGTTCCCCCCCCAGTATGTTCTATTATTGTATAAATTACGATATTACAGTAGTGGAATTCGTTTGGTGAGATTTTTGTTAAGCGCAAATGTCTCATAGATTAATTTACTCTAATTCTGCCTAAAAGAATTTCAAGTGCCGCGGGTATTGAGTATTCCCTCTCGTTTTGCTTTTTATTAGCTATATTTTTGTGCGCCAGCAATACCAAGCGTGGGGAGTGCACATACCAGATTCATTTTTAGTACTTATCAAGATCTCTACCAGCCTACCCTCACACTGAAATTATTTTAGTCAGGATTAGAGTGGATTAATCTATGAGACCTCAGGCGTGGTCAAATACATCAATCGAAAGGGTTTGACTTTCTGAGTCCAAAACTGTAATTAGATTTCAAATCGGTCAAGAGATGACGGAGTTACGAGCTAAAAGTTTGTATTTGAAAAAAACAAAAACTCATTCCCATTCTATGAGCCGCTATGCTGCGGCTAAAAAATAAAGTTTATTCACTACATTCAACTGTTGAAAAATTTTTCCACTGTGAAAATTCAATGATGCCTCTTTTCCCCCACTTTTTAGTTTCTATTGAGCGATGGGATTTTACTTGGTCTGTTTCTTTCATTAGATACACACTTACATGGGTTATTAACATTCTGTTAAATGTTTTTTTGGTATTAAGCCCAAAGGACTATCTGTGCTCTGCTCACCACGGGTATCGAAACCCAGTTTCTAGCAGTATAAGTCTGCAGACATGCCGCTGTGCCACTGAGGGGCCTGTTAAATGTTATAAATAAAAACAGATGATGCTGGGCAGTTGTTTGAAATATCCTTTATAAAGTTATATAACAGCATTATAATGCTCAGAATCCCGAGGTAAATGTATCCATTTTATTTTACAGGTAAAACGCCTCTCATTGTTAAATGCTATATTCATAGAAAATATCTCTATATTCTGGTAAATATGACTAATACTTTAAACACTTATAATCTTTGGAATATCTGTTTCACTTGGTACTTGGTACATATGACGTATTTGTTTAGCTACGGATAGTATTTCTTGATTGAAGTCTGTAATTAGATTTCATTATTTGGCAGAAATATCAATAATGTTTACTTATGTAGAGTCGACGATAGTATATTATCGAAAGACCTATACTAATTGAATTCCACTTTAGCCATTCCCTATTTTATAATTACAGTTTTCAACAATGCTCTGTCATAGTGCAAGCTTGTAAGTGTTTATTTAATCCTCGTGGAGTCTTAGCAGTGTTACTACTCCCGTAAACTCATCAAACCTAAATTCCTTCATCTCTCAAGTCCCAGGAAGAGTGACACCTTCAGATAAATGAAGGAAAAATTTTCAGAAGCACCTACCGCCTACCCAACTACTCTCAACTAAGTAACAGGATTTTCTGTCACTTTTATAAATCATCCAGAACTGAAAGTGCGGAGCGTGTTCAACAGCATATCGCGATCCCAAGTATTGAATCTTCCGATCCTCAACAAAGCACACTAACTACTAGGCCACGTAGACTCTTTGTATGCTCTTCCTAACATAAATTGGTGACACTTTAATTCAGAAAAGATTATTCCATTTACAAAATACCGAACTATAGGAATAACTCTTATCGATAAGCAGTTGCGTGAGAGAGACATTAGAGGTGTTTTGATCAATTGCGTGAGAGAGACACTACACGCGTTTTGATCTATTACGCCAACTTGTTTTTAAAATTTACAATTAAGTGTCGTAATATTGAATTATACTACAAACGTCTGAATCAAATTGGCATATATATTTTGCAAAGCAAAATAACAGATACATATTTTGTTTTATGGACACAAGGTGTTTATCATACAACAGGAAATGAATAATAAAGATTGTTAAACGACATATACACAGCGTGGTCACAAGACGCCACCTTTTCAGAAAAAAATAAAAATTTTCAGTCATATTCACATGAATTGATATATTTATAATTTAATTAATATCTAGTAGATCTTCCTTTCGCTTCGTGGAGTTCGTTGATCCTTTGGGTCATCGTGAGAATCATCTCGTCAATTTTAGACTGTGGAATTTTTGCCCACTCTTGCTTCAAAACTTGGAGTAGATCGCTCTTTGAAGTTGTTTTTTTTTGTTGTTGTTATTGTTTCTTGACTTGCCGGTCGAGTATGGCCCAGAGGTTTTCGATGGGGTTCATGTCAGGAGATTGGCTCGGCCAGGGCAACTTCTGGATACCATTTTCTTCCTGCCACTTTTGGATGTTTTTAGCAGTGTGACACGGTGCTCCATCTTCCTGGAACAACGTTGTGTTCTTGTAAACGAAACCCGAGGAATAAAGTGGCAGGAGGCCTTTCTCCAATATTTCGACGTATTTCGCAAAATGTATGTTGCCAACGCACTCCACTAAGCTCGATCTCCCACCAACCCAAACAGCTCCCCAAACCATCACGCTGAAACCACCATGCTTCACAGTTGGCTGCAATCTGTTGAGCCAAAACTCTTGGTGAGGCATTCCCCAGACCCATTTCCTTCCACTGTTCGAAAATTAAGCGAATCTTGCTTAGTTTGAGAACAATACGGGTCTTCCAAAAGTCCAGAGGCTTGGTCGTCATATCACTTGCCCACTTCTTTCGTTTGACTATGTTG